TTTACTTACCATTATTTGGGATGTTCAACATCTATAATAATTCTAAGGTTTTGTTTAAACATTAGTGGCTTTCTTATGGTTATTTCCACTGAACTCAAGGATGAGACAGTATTTATCTGTAAAAGCTATCCAGGACTATCTCCTTACTACAGTACTGCACACATTTTTTAATGTTTCGTCTATGTTATGCTACATATAAGAGCTGGAAGCAGATAGAAATAAGACAATGGGAAAATTCCTTTCTGTGCTGTACTTATTAAATAAAGCAAGAAAATGTAACTTGAAGTCCAGGATCATATTCAGTCCCAAAACTTTGCCTATCCCTAGAGCCCCGCCCCCAAAGAATTTTGATTGTCAATATGACATAAGGAAGAAATTAAATTTATGGGAATAGTCATGTGATCTGTAATTATAAAACTTGGTTACGTGAAATCAAACTTTCTTTTTGTCCCAAATTTGTCCGTATTTTGCACTGGCTTCACCATCTTATTAAGAATAAAGACCTTGAAGCATTACAGAAAGGTCAACTGTAGCATATAGACTATAGGCTACAGACCAAGAAACAATCAGTATGGTACACCAATCAATAATTTTGGATTTGGGAAAAGCCAATAGTCTCCACTTATCTCTTTGACACATATCTGTAGCCTTCTCACCACCGGTTTTAGAATAAATAAATGCACTGCGTACAGTGGGAATTTTATACATTTTATTGGACAAAAATAATAGTGAATAACTCAAATAAGTATCAAAATGAAATATCTATGTTCTAGCTCCATATTCTCCATATTAAGAATGGGGAACTGATGTTGTTTATGTATGCTGAAATCTTTCCCATAATTAATATATTTACCATAAGTGAGTCTATGTGTAACTGAAAGTAAATATATATTCTTACTGTTTATTCCTGACATTTTTTCTCATCATTTCCCCTGCAGCTTGACCTGTACAGAATTTCAGTTCTATATATAAAATGGAGTAGGAATCTATCATCTTGTAATGTACCAGTCAAAATCATGATGCTATGTAAATAGATCTTCATCACCATTAATACCTTAGAATAACTGATTTAACCATGATTATACATTATAAACAAATGGATTTTGTTTATATACAAGTGGATTTGACCAGATGGACTATCAGTGTACACCAGAAGGATTTTTACCATTGTTTTGTTTTTCTATTAAGAACAGAGTTTTGTAAGCAGACATAGATAAAACCACCTTCTTTTATTTTCATTACATTTTAAATAGGTGACGCTGTGTGATTCTCTTTTGATTTTAGAGCCATGTGCAAAAACCAGACAAGTATAAAGAAGGAAGAAGAACAAGACTATTAAAAGGAAAGCTTTGTGGATATAGAATGAACGTGTCAAGGTTAAAGTATTCCAGTAATCCCAGGGTCAGGAAAAAAGCTGCTGCTAATAAAGTCCTTCTGTGCATTTTATTCACTCCACTAAAGGAAGAAGGGCAGCCAGGAGACCAATTACAAATCGCTCGTCTGATGTTTAATCCCCTTATTTCCATTTCCCATTAAAATGAACTATTTTGTTTTTTGTCCTTCCTAACTCCTCTAAACACCAAATTCCAAAATGTGTATCCTGCACATGGTATTTGACTCCGGGAAAAAGTTTAAATGTGCATTAAACCCCTATTACATTTTAAAGCTTTTGCCTCCCCCCCCCCTTCCTTTGCTGCCTTCTGTTTCAAGAACACTTTCAATGGATTTTAAAACTCTTAGTAAAAAAATCCTAGCTGTTATCATTTCTTATGTGATGAGACTCATATAAGAACTAAACATTCCTGAAGACAGTGTTTTTCAACCTTGACAACTTTAAGATGGGTGGACTTCAACTTCCAGAATTGATCAGCCAGCATGCCGAACTCCACAGATCTTAAAGTTGCCGAGTTTGAAATATACTGATCTAAAAGAACAAGGAAAATCCTAAAATAACTCAGTGACAATTTGCCTCGAAAATGGCTAATTCCTAGGCTCTAGTATATGTCACAGGCAAAATTCCTAGTTTAGAACTACCAGATACTCAAACAGGCGAAGGAGGACAAGGACAATGGTAGAGAAAATTTATTTCTCTATAGCTGTGCCTATTAATGGCTTTTGGAATGGACAGATACATAAGCCAATCAGAGGGCAGCTAATATGTTTGAATCTCCAGGGTCCTACCCTAACTGTCATAGTTAGCAGTATAAAAGGAGATTCTTGTCAGAAACTCTTTGCTCTTCGATCTTCACTCGTCTTAGCTATTTGGTCTTAACTCTTAGCTCTTAACTCTTCTAGGATCTTCCCTTAGACAACTGTGAGCAGTTTGGAAGTCTGTTAGAAGAACAGTTCTGGTGGTTTATAATAATATTTCTTCTGAGGAAGAATAGTCATAGATAACATAGCATAGAGAGAATAGATATAGAGATAGATATATAGCTGACAGGATAATTAATCATAGTAACTAAGTGCTGTTTATTAATTGTATAGATATTGTTATGTTTTTATTATGTAAATAAAAACATTTACTGTTAAATGATTTAAAGGGTTAGGGTTAAATTTGTTAAAGTAGAAATTCATAGAGACAAAGGTTCACGGTTCACTGATTTTATTAACCTCCACAACAGACAATTAGTATAAAGGAGGTCAAAAATGGGGGGAAAGGAAGACACACTAATTGTTTAACCTTCTTGGCATCTATGGCAAAAATAATAGTGAAATATTGCCCCCCCCCCAAAAAAGAGTGTACATAGGCCTATATGTACTTAGGCACTAGAACAGGGGTGTCAAACTTGCGGTGTCACATTGTTGTCACATGATGTATTGTGACATTTTTCCCCTTCGCTAAATCAGGGGTGGTTGTGGCCAGCACGTGATGCATCCCGCCCACGGGCCACAAGTTTGACACCCCTGCACTAGAAAGGCTGGTTTTTCAATTGCAATGTTTTCCAGAAGTTTCTTTATTTTTAACATGTATCTTAGTGATAATATAGAATCGACCATGACATTCTTTTCAATTTTCAAATTTCAGAAATGTCTGGTGAGCCATGTGTTCTATATCCCACAATGATCCCAGATTAGAAGGGGTTGGATCGTATCTGATTGCTTGAATCAAGAAATAAATTAATTTACATTTAAATAATGTAAATTTAGGCTGTCAAGTGATGTGGAAAAGAAAGAAGCAATACATTTACAAGGTCACGATACATGAACGTTTGAATGACTACTTTTATAAAAGCAGTCTTTCCCCCCCCCCAAAAAAAAATGTTTAGGTTTTCCTATACATTAACAGGTCTGGAGCTAATCTGAGGTCAGGAAGATATGCTCGGCTCCCCACTGAAGTGGTACCTATTTATCTACTCACATTGAGCATGCTTTCTTATTGTTTGGTGGACAGAAGCTGAGGTAAGTAGCAGGAGCTCACCCCACCACAGTGCTAGGACTCGACCCACTGAAGCACAGTCCATTAATAACCTGGAGCAAAGACCATTAAGCCATTGAGCCCAGTGCTTCTAATTCCATGAATGAAGAAACTACTAAACTATCTCCACTGGGATTATCAGTAGTTACATGATAGCAAAAAAATCACATGTACACATCACTAAAATCAAGGAAATATATCACCAAAAAGAAAGACTTCTTTGAAAGTTCTTTTCATTTATATATAGACATGGAACTCTAATGATTTGATACAGAGTTATTTTCAACTTGGCAACTTTAGGATGTGTGGACTTCAACACCCAGAATTCCCAAGCTTCCCTCCCAGATTCTCATCATGCTTTATCTAAACCAGATTTCTGCAGATCTGCTTTTCAATAAAAGCATCTGTAAACCAGAAAACATTGCCCCATATACTCTGCACATACCCAGAGGCATTCTCCTTTAACAGGCAACACATTCCTTTTTCTCTTTAGAGCCTGTGCCATAAAGACAGTGAAACCTGTTTCTTTTGAGATCCAACTCAATGGGCTGGAGATTCAATATTAAAACTGTCTTAAGACCTATTGTAGTGTTGAGCCTTGTATTTAGTAGTTGAAATACTTCTGTTTTATCTTTCCAGTTACAAATTTTAAAAGGACAAGCATAACCTCTGGCCGTGTTCATAAATTGCTTTCAGCCATAATATGCTTTATTATTAGCTTACAACACTGGGTGAATGCAACTACAGCAGTTTGTAAGTCTTGGCTTGTACCTAAGCATGTTGTATAAACATAAAACAGTTTTTAAAAACCAATGGTTTGGTTAGTATAAGGTGTGAGTTCATTCCCTATCTCACTTTTCTGCTACTCTTTTAAAGTCACTACTTAGCTGCTTCTGGTTGTCTGGTCATAATGTTTCTGATTAGCATCAGCAATTCTTAACATCTTACAAAGAACATTTGAACAAAGACAAAACACAGCAACATTCCCCAAAGCAATATCTTCCAGGAAAAACAGCCAGACGCCCATTAGCCTAAGAAATCAAGTAAGTTGCCAGCCATATGAACAATTTGATGGCTCATGGAGATAGTGCTGGACCAATGTCTTTAGCTAACTACATGGAAATAGCTGCAAATCATAGGTAGCCATAAACTTATCAATGCAAAATCTTGATAAGCTCTCTGAGAATCGTTTATTGGTGAGGTGAGGGGGAAAAAATCCATTGGCATGTAATTTGCTAAGTCTAGCTACTTCGCTTCTTAATTGCTTGTCTTTCCACCCATCTACTCTTCTATTCCTTACCTCTAGTTGACTAAAATAGCTATTTTAATCAGAGAAATTATTTGAGAGAAAAAGTAGGAAAATGCTGTCACCCAGAGATCCTACTTGTGAGGTTTTTGGAGATGACAGAATGTTGATCCAGCAGCTTTACTTATATTCTTATTATTACTCCATAAAAATGAAATTTAATCACCTCAAAAACTTATTTACTCAGTGCACAAGGCTCTCTGAAAATCTCTGAAGCTTCAGTGACAATTCATGTTATCTCAATCTGCAGCAATTTATGTCAATGTATTTTAAACCTCCACTCTTTCCTCCACTCTGTTTCACTGCCTTCAATACCTCAGTATTGCTTTGAATAAGAAGCTATCTAATTGTTTCAAATTCTGTGCCATCTTCTGGGCATGTGGGAAACCTAGGAAATTGTACACAGTTTTTCTCCCCCTCCAAAAAAAAAAACCTCTGCTAAATCTAGTTTCATAGACTGCAGAAAAAAAATGATTGGAACAGCAAAGAAAAGTTGGGTCTCATATTTATGATAAGGAAAAGCATTTATTCTATTGTGTCTCAAAATGGCTGAAAATTGGCTCATATTAGTATTAAGAAAGGCCTTCTGACGATTGTTGAAGGAAATGTTCACAAGCTTTTTCTCTGCCTCCTGTTTCTTTTTGCTGCTTATCACTCATTTTCCTTCCATCATTTTTTGACTCTTAACATTGTGTGTCTAATGCTTCTTCCATTCCAGTGATCACTGGATGCCTGCAAGACAACAAACATTAATATCTCACTGTTACACTTGGGATGATAAGATGGAAATGAAGATTTCTACGTCAGTTGAGCAACATTTCTGGCTGTGAAAAGAAAAACAGTGAAGTAAGCTCTAAGCTTTAAGTCTGTTTTCAGATAGGCTTGTCCACGGCAATGTTTTTTATCAAGAAAGATCAGCCATCACCCTTGCTGATTTTACAAGTGTTGCACAGAGGTATATTAAATAGCTAACCATAGCAGTAAAAATTAACTGCAGATTACATTTTTACTCAAGAAATATGAACATATAATTTGGAATTATAGCTCTTTAAAACATACTTTCATTAACTGGGAGGCTCTGTACCACAGCAACCTATCCATACAAAATCATTTGGTCTCAGGAGTTTGCGCATGAATTATCTTTAACATAATAATATATTTAGGTTGTTTTTTCCTTCTCTAGAATACGTCATATCTTTTGACTAGATCCCCTGATGGCCAATGATTAGGGATGATGGCAGTTGTGGGACAAAATATCTAACAAGCACTAGATTGAAGACACCTATATCACTCGATAGGTGCATGATTCAAACAGAAAGCAGTGCAGGCCATATACAGTAATTGCAACCACCCAGATATCATATGTTAATGAATCACTTCTTTTATGAGAAAAATATCATAATTTTCAACATGAAGTAAATGATTAAAAAATAAGAATGCAAAGATATGATGACCAAAAATATCATAAAACGATGCCAATCAATAATCAGGCCATCAGCATATCAAAAGTTATTCTAAAAAGCAAAGTTCCTGCCCTATACCAGGAGGACAGGACCTAGGTCAAGGGCCAGAACATAGGACTTCTCTTTACTTACCTAAGCACGTCACAAATATTTTTGGCAACTTTTTTTCTGTTGCCTTCCCATGTTATGACCTTCAATTCATTGCCAATCTCTAAAAAGGACACCTTCCCCATAAGCCAATAGGCCCACATAACAGCAATGAAGCAGGGGTGGGTTCTACTTACCTTTACTACCAGTTTGCAATGGGATCATGCTCACTTGCTCGCAGATCACCTATGATGACATCCAGGGTGGTGGGTGGAGCCTCCTGCCAGTTTTACTACTGGTTCTTGCAAACCGGTCCGAACGGGGGGCAACCCACCACTGCAATCAAGTGAGGAAAATCTGTTATGATGCACCAGCTATTACATCATAGACAAATCACATAACCTGTAGTGGGTGAATTCAAAGTGGCTCTTATTGATCATTTTGGCTGATGTACTATAGGCACTTCAGTCCTTGATTAATTTTTTCTGATGCCACTGTGTTTTTTGTCTCTCTGAAGAATTAGATACTATGCTCTGACAACATTGTGTAATGGCACTCCAATATTCAACTAACAGCATTGCACATTCTGTAATGTTATAACTCTTATAACTGGTTTAACACAAAGCTAAAATAGCAAAACAGGGTAATGACAAGACAACTTCTCCAAACCTTTGCCTTCTGAACAGAGGAAGTCAGAATTTGTTTCCAGTATAAAGTAAGTAAAGAAAAGGAGAGAAGTGTAAGTAGAAGTGCTGCTTGTAGCTCATCTACCTTCATAAATTCAATATATGTTTTTTTTTCTTTGTTTTACATAGGTTAGAACAGAACGTAGTGTAAGAAAAGAGACTAGGTGGGAACTTGTGATTGTGACATAACATACAGATAACTAGTGCTGGGTCTGGAGGATGCTTGAATTCAATCCATTGACTTTTGATGTGCTGTATACTCAAACTTAGGATAACACTATTTGGCAGGGAATCAGAACATAAGCAATAGCAGCAGGAAAGGGTGGATACAATCCCAAAACATCTGGAGCAATACTTGAATGCCATTGGCATTGACAAAATCCCCATCAGTCAATAGCAAAAGGCAGCTTTACTTGGAACAACTTACATCCTGTGAAGATATTTCTAACATCGTTGAATATCTGCCTATCCCAGTTCCTTGGGAAGGACTTGTTAGGTGCATAAAAATGCCAAATCCAGTCTAAACATCTGACTGACTGCACCAGTGATGGAATTCAATTTTTTTTACTACCAGTTCTGTGGCCATGGCTTGGTGGGCGTGGCAGGGGAAGGATACTGCAAAATCCCCATTCCCACCCTACTCTGGGGCCAGCAAGAGGTGGTATTTGCCGGTTCTCTGAACTACTCAAAATTTCCGCTACCAGTTCTCCAGAACCTGTCAGAACCTGCTGAACAGCACCTCTGCTCTGCACCCAGCTATAATAGCAATAGGAGCAACGACAATAATTTGATTTCTTCTACAACTAAAAATGTGATCAAGGTTTGATGGCAGTTGCAGGAAGAACAAGAAACTTACATGATGGTTGAAAACACACTTAATTGCACATTCAGGCACTGAAATTGAAATTGGAAATGGACAGAAAGAAGGTCCTCCAAGAGAAACAAATTTCAAGGGGAAAAACCAGCAGCATCTGTAACAAACCATGATTACTCACACAGATGCAATAAGATTACTATACAAATGCTGCCCTTATGTATTTGCGTAATTGGTATGATATGACGCTGAGCATGCTGACAGGAGAAATGTTAGTACTAAATTTGTGATATTTGTTGTTGTTGTTTTATCGTTGCAGCACAAATAAAAAGACTGGCAAAGCTTTGATGGTGTCACAACTTAATTAGTGAATTTATATCAGATTATATCTGGCCTATCTCACCTAGATTGATCTACCTGGGCTGACAGCTGTATCATTTTCTCCTTCTCCTTCTCCTTCTCCTTCTCCTTCTCCTTCTTCTTCTGCCATATCCGTCATCGGACGCTGGTGATTATGTTGGCGATCCTATTTTTATCAACAGCCGCACGAAAAATTGCTGCTGTAGGTTTTGTCCAAACCACTTCCTTAGATTTTGAAGCCATGATGTTCTTCTGCCTGGGCCTCATTTGCCTTCAATCGTTCCCTGGAGAATTAAGTGAAGTGTTCCGGGTGGCGCATCACATGTCCAAAATATTCTAACTTTTGCTTTTTAATGGTTTTGATGATTTCCCTTGGCTTTCTCAGGTGGCTTATCGCCTCCTCATTTCTGATCATTGTATCTTTTTTATTTTTATTTATTTATTTTTTTTGATATCTGTTATTGTCTCTTTTTAAATGAGATTTCCTTGGGTCTTAACCTGGTATCTTCAGCGAGCAAAAGGTGGCTGAACCCTGCCTTTGCGTGTTCCACTTTTGTACCAGTGTTCTGAATTGATATTCTTCACAGGAGGTTTCTGTATAATGCTGAGATATGAGTGATACAACCCTTAAAGGGAGAGAGATTTTTCAGCAGTCAAAGGGAGTTTATAGAGGTTAAGTACCGTTTGGAGGCATCATTCAAAAGGAAATGCTTGCAAGAGACAAGAGAGAGGCTCTTGCAAACGATGCAGCTTTTCTTTTTTACATCAGGATTTGCTTTATGAACCACACTGATCTGTCAAATCCCAATTCTATTTATTTAGGCTGTTTGAAAGGAAAGAAAGTCTGAAATCTCAGCTAGGACAGAAATAAAATGGAACAGCTAACAACTCTGGCACGGGGATGCTGACCTTTCCCCCTTCCAACTCCATCAGCATTAAAAAGAACCTGCATATACAGTTCAGTTAAATACTATCCCAGGATGTGTATTGCTCTATAAAGAAAAACATGGAGTACCTGCAGGGCCAACAACTTGAGAAAAGGAATATAAATCAACTTATATTTAAGAGTGACCGTGGATAACCAGAAATGTCATAGAGGCGAATAGAAAAAAACCACCGCTGAGAATCTTCAGACAGACAGACTGCAGAGATGGGATGCCTCCAGTCTAGTCAGCATGGAAATGCAAATTTCTATCATTTCAGCAAGGTAGTTAAAAGTTTTGGAGATGAGAAACTGTTGTTAGACATGAGATTGGTTTAAACTGGGAAGCCAGCATGGGGTAAATGTTTAGACAAACTATTTTTTCCCTAAGGCCATGGGTCTGCTCTGATTCATTCCCTTGTGTTATTAGCATTCAGAAGAAAATCCAATAAAGATCTAAGTACCTAGTTCCATCCTTATAGAAATTGATGCACCAGTTTTAGCTCTTAATTCCTCAAATATGGCCATGTGCAAAAATAAAGTACCTGAAACACAGCACTGTTTTATCTAGAGCATGCATCCCAAAGTAATCTATTGAAATATCTATTCAGTGATTTACTTTTACTTTACTTTTATTTGATTTGTATACTGCCCTACTCCCGAAGGACTCAGGGCAGTGAACAGTCAACAATAAAATACATACATACAAAATTTAAAAAGCAGAAATAAAATCGAATTAAATAGTTTGGCCCAGACAGAATAAAACCCCAATCAACTTAAAACAAATTTAAACTTTGAGGATTAAAGATATTAAAAATATTAAAATATTAAAATTGTTTAAAAAGAGGGAGAAAGTTAGGCCAGGCCCGCCTGGTGAAATAGAAAGTCTTTAGAGCACGGCAGAAGGTGCGCAGATCCGGGATCCTCCGTATCTCTGGGGGCAGCTTGTTCCAGATAGTAGGTGCCCCCACAGAGAAGGCTCTCCCCCTGGGGGCCACCAGTCGACATTGTTTGGCCGACGGCACCCGGAGGAGCCCCTCTCTATGAGAGCGTACCAGCCAGTGGGAGGCTATTGGTGGTAGTAGGCAGTCCCACAAGTTTTGAACAACAACATACTTTCTTTATGCTGATTTCAGATCTTCCCTTTTGTTTTAGGGGGTCACATTTAAACAAGGAGCATAGTCATTCATGCGTATGTAAATTCGGCAGTTACACATGACTGGGATAGAAGCTGGCTGTGACATCTCAACCATCTATCCCAGGAATCCTCCAAATGGAAATTCTGGCTAGAAATTACCTGTCCATGAGAAAGTATGTGTCAAAATCTGCCAGAGGGAAGATGTACCATTGGAACTGAAGCCTGTCCTTTGTTTTTGTGTTGATGTTTGACTCCTGGTGACTGCAGGGTTTTTTAAAGCAAAATTTCAGAAATACTATAGTTTTCCATTATCTTGTTCCTAGTCTAAGACAGAGGGATTGGCCCAAGATCATCCAGATGGTTGGATGCTAAGGTGAGACTAGAAAGCATAGTCTCATAAATGTACTTTATTGAAATGTAGTCATAGTCTCCCAAGTTCTATTTAACCAATACACCAAACAGGCTCTCATTTTATATCTCTATCAACATAATGTTGATCATAATGTTGTCTCCTCCATCTTCCAAATTTTGATTGGAAATTAATATATATAATACAGTAAGTGACTTTGAACAGCATCTAATGGAAAAAATGTGATATAAATCCCATTAATAAATTTATTTGTAAAATTTATTAGCCGGTCATTTTGTTATACAGTAAATCTGGGCGACTTATCAACTCAGCTGTTATATTTATCTGACAGATATTTTTAAGAGTTTTTTTCCCCTTCCTTTATTATTCTTATAAATAACTCAAGTCAATGAATATACCTAATACTCCTTCTTTCTCCTTTTACCCACAACAATAACCCTGGGATGTGAGTTGGGCTGAGAAAGAATGGGTGGTCCAAGTCACCCAGCTGGCTTTCATGTCTAAAGTGGGACTAGAACTCACAGTCTCCTGGTTTCTAGCATGGTGCCTTAACTAATCTGGTTATTTTATATATATATATATATATATATATATATATATATATTGCTGGATTCCCATTTGCTTCTTTACCCAATTGCACTTGACATAATCAGTAGATATAATTAATTTTAAAGGCACTGAGTAGATCTGATCTTTTGTTTAAATTGATACTATTGCTGCTGCCAAAAGAATGACTAGAATTATATATAGCTTTGAAAACAAAAAATGAACTATCCCATTATTTTTGTATTTACATTTGTACAATAAATATAATTGCCAGTTATATAATTTTTCATTTTCTCCAAACAGATGTGAAACTCTTTTAATAGGTATTCCTGTTAACATTTAAGACAGTCAAGCACTTTAGACTGTAAATTCCCTTTTTGATGTTTCTTGGCCTAGGATAGGTCATAATTCACCTCCTGATTTCACAGTTCTTATTTCATAATTCATTAAGTCAAATAAATATTTGAGGATAAAAATCAATTTATAAATAGTATATTTCA